AAAATCACTCAATAAATACGCAAAAATATAGAAAAATACAGAGATAATTGCAAACGATAGTAGATTCAATTGTACGTTACCGGTGGTACATCAGGAGACAGTCGTATTCTCCAGAGGAGGCTCTCGGATCTCTTCCGATGTTTCCAAGTAGACTCTCTGCAGTTGGGTGGCTGCTGCTCGCCGAGCACTTTTCTTTCTTGCTTTGCTTCTTCTTCTTAGTCGTTTTCTTTCTTCTTATTTCTTCTTGTTACTTGTAGGCTCGTGGTCCTTTGTAGCTCGAAGGATGGACATCCACCACACTAGTGAGCGTTCGCGTGTTCTAATGCGTTGAAGCTATCCCACTTTTCTGACACCAATTGTTATATCATTTAAATTCAACTTTGCTTTTTAAAAAATTTATTTGAGAACAGTAACTGTCCGTTATAAACGTTTACAATTGAACACGAAGTTTACGTAAGTGACTGTTACGGTGCCTAGCCGGGTATTGAACTTATCAGTTAGCGTACATTACGGTGTCGCGCCGGGTATTGCACTACCCAATGAAATGGGCGCAAGGCCCATTTATACTATTGGTGTGCTTACAAAGCACTTCTAGAAAACAAAGCATAAGCAACGAGTTAGCGAGAAGTCGTTATCTGTTGCTGAGCTAGCGTCTGGTGCAACATTGTATGGAATAGTAAGTTCATTGTTGTGAGTGCATATAACATACATTTCACCGGTCAAATTTCCAGGTCCAAAGGACCAACTAAATGATCGCCAAAAATACCAGCCCAAACATTTAATTTTTGTGGCTGCTGTGCATGAATCGGACCATTATCGGCAGTTGGGACGATTTACTACGCCATTTAAGAAAAAGGAATATTCGTCGGAAAAGCAAGTGTTGAATAGAAAATGTTCATCGTTTATAATTTGTTCACTCATATCTTCACAAAATTTTAATCGCTGATCAAAATCGTCTTCTAAGTTCTTGTACCAGGTGCATTTTATACGGATGAAAACTATGGGCCTTTAGAATCCGTTGGACAGTACGTCGACTAATAACACACACAGTCTCCAATTTGCGGGTACTTAACGTAGGATCTACATAAACTTGCCCTAAAACCCCCACTTCTATTGCTTCGTTCCTTATGGGATTTTCAATGTTGCGTTTTTTATTGGCGACTGACCCAGTTCCCCCCCCCCTCTGTTCTAGAACATATTTTCGATATTAGCGCACTGATTATTTCCGAAAAATATTTCGATAATTTCAACTCTTTCTGTCTTGGGATATACCATGGTTAAATTATGTAATAAAGCGTTACAAGTTATTTTAGCAACAAAGTTTGGTCAAATCAATCGCAAACTATGTACTAAATTCCTATTTAAAATAAATACGAGATATTTCCTCATCTTTCTTCAAGAAATAACTTTTTTGCCACAAAAAAACGCTCTAATAGCTATTTTCATCAACAAAATGATAAACAAACCATGGGCGTAGTGAAGAAAAGCATTTACTTATTAAGTAAATTCTTTTAGTCAAATTTCTTCTGAAAGTAGTACAAACTAATCTGATGTACCTATTAAAGTCTACTTTAAGCTTTAAATCAATAAATCTTCAAAACTACTGAACTGAAGCTCATGTATTTTACATCATTATAAAGGGAATTGGAAGACCTTTAAAATAAGGTATCACTCGACCCCCCTTTCCATTTAAGATTTTAGGGTTGGTGTCACCCCCGCCCAAGGGGCTGTACGTGTTAACGTGATTTTTTGCCAAAGTTGTGTCCCCCTCAAAAACAAAATCGACGAGTCGGAGCGTTTTTCAAAAAAAAAAAACTGAGCTGCCAGTAAATGCGTCGGTTTCATTTTCGATGCGCCACCCTGTATATTGAATATATTGATTTACGTCAAAACTCACCTGGACAATTTTAGTTCTATAAAAATTCTGGATATATATATATATATATATATATAATACCAGAAACAGAGAAGTAATTGAGGTGCCGCCATATAGGTTTTCTAGAACGGAGAAGAGTGCCAAATAAATAATAATAATAATAATAATAATAATAATAATAATAATAATAATAATAATAATGTTTATTGTCACAAAATACAGGTAAATATCAAATATTGTGCACAATAAACATAAAGCATCCAAAAAAAGTTTGCACTTGTGTTTGGGTTTGTTCAAAATAAAAACTAATAGTACAGTCAGTGTATGAAAAAAAACCGTTAATACTGTATAATTTGGTGAACTATTATGGTAATGTCAGGAAAAATATCTCGACAATTATAACTAAAGTAAGTATGGATGTTAGTGTAAGTAAAATATTATTGATTTTGATAATGATCTTTCAGATCTACAATTTCGTGGATGGAGTACCTTGGTTGTTGTAAAATCCATTTTTATTTAGTTCTTTTTTTAAATGGTTTATTTGATTTAATTACTTTTAATTACTCTGGTATGAAGTTATAGAATTTTGGTCCCAAGAAAAACAGATATCGTTGTGTAATGGTTTTTGATGTTTGTGGAATACACATTGAATTTTGATTGAATCTTGTTGGGTAGTTATGAATGGTACGATTCAAGTATTTCGAATATTTGAAATAATGTATTAGACCACAATAAAAATAAATGTGTCTGCAATCTAATAGCTGAGCCTCCACATATAGAAAATCACTTGAATAAGTAATCTCCCTATGGAGGATCAATTTTAGAATTAATTTTTCAATTACATCAAATTTTTGTAATTATTATTCATAACTCCCCCCAAGCCAAAATTCCGTAATGTAATAGAGGATAAACAAAAACATAAAAGCAATAAAACTCTTCAACAAACTACCCATTGATTGTAAATCACTACCGCTGATATTATTTAAAAAAAGAATCAGGCAAATTTTACTTGATAAAGCTTTCTACTCTATAGAAGAGTTTTTAATGAGTGATAGTCTTTTTTAATTGTTTTAATGTATTGTTCAATTTTAATTTAATTTGTTGTTTTAATTCGTTGTCATGTTTATACACTTCGTGGTTTTATTTGATGTTTTGAATATTATTTATGTATGTCGGCAATTCTGTTTATACTAATATTCAATTGACTTATCCTATATCACTTTGTGATCCACAGGATGAATAAATTATTATTATTATTATTATACATATTTTGAGCCGAAATTTTTACACGGCCATAGATGAGCCTTAAAAGTTTTTAAGGAAAATAATTCCATATTTAAATGCACTGAACTGTTTATAAAGTTGGCACACAAACTGCACTGAAAGAACGGCGAGATCAAAGTTATGTTTTGAACTGTCTTAGACTAGTTAGTGTGTAGCATATGCTAAATGGCTGCATTATTGATGACTGTATGACTTTGTCAAATAAGTAGGTCACATAATCCAGTTTCTTTACGAAGGAATGGACCTTTTTTTCTAAAAGTATTAATATACTATACGAAATCTCGTATGATTTAAACGACTGAGGGTTTAAAATAAACTCGAGAAAACGAAAAAACAGACCAATTGTATCGAACTGACCGTCTGAAAAATTAGGTAAAATGCTTGGTATTAGCCCCTAATACATTATTTAAAGTTTGTATGTTTAGTAATTTTCGAGATAATTATAATTTTTACATCAGAGATGTGCTGCCGACGTTCGCTGGACATTTTGTTACTACACTGTAGTTACATTTTCGTATCATTTTCTCAAAATCTGGCTTTTCACTATTACATAGATGTATGTCGATATGTTTTCATAGCGTTTCGAATTCTAATTACACAGTGATATGTGTGCAATCAAATATTTAACCCCTGGTCATTCATGCAATCAGACAATAGATACCGTAGACAGCTGCAAAGAAACGATTTTGAAAAAATCTGAATATTTTCTCTTCTAAGTTTAATTTTGAAAGTTAATTCTAAAAAACCTTACAAAATTATTCAACTCAAAGAAAACGATTTTACGATTCGTTAAATATTTGCATATTAATCTAACAATACCTTTTTTATTTTTATTTGTTTACAAATTTACGTGAACTACAGTTACTGATTTTGAAGGAATACAAAGTTGTAAGTTACATCCATGTACAGACCGTTACTTCATATTTATTTACTCATTCTTTCTATTGTGTTTCAGGAGTAAATAAATATTATTGTAATTATACTTCAGCTACAATAAAGTTCTTCCGTTACTGTGACATAGTTGCATGTTATTTGGGGTATGCAAAATCTATATGAAGAAAAAAACAAATTTGATGTGGTTTTTGGTCAAATAGCAAATACTTTGCCAGTACAGAATATTATCCCAAATCCACGATAAGGTGCTTTTCTTTGTTATGGCATAATATTGTTCTCTAGCGTTTTTCTCAAAACTGGATTAACACATGAAATACTAGTCCAGTTAAATAGCCGAAACACAAAGTTAGTTCCGCTGGCGTAATGGTGTAATAAAGGATTGCGAATATTGTTGTATGAATTTGGTTTTCCGGAAACCAGCCGTTCTTTGTAAAACTGCTAAAAACCTAAAAACCTCCTTTTCGCTGAAATGGCTGAGGATATCTGGGATGTTTTTACACGTATGTTTTTCTAATTTTTGGGCCATCAAAAAAGGTCTCTGCAAATTTTTTGCTAAATTGTTGAGTTTTCGCGTTACAGCTTGCTGATGGCTTGTGGGCGAGGGGTTTGCGGGGACAGGGACGCGCGTACGCATATAACCAGCCGCCGCACCGTTGAAGCGGAACGATCGTCTTTTATTTCGACGTCCTCAGTGTCTCGCTCTCAGTGATAGGCCAGTCGATTTCGAATAATAAGCTTGTTTGTAGTTGTGGCGTTCACCGACTTAGAGCCGTTTTACACACAAGAGAATTACTCCGAAAATTATGGTCATAACTATGCCGAAAATTTTTGCTGTCGTATTACACGTAAAAGAATTTTTGTGAAAATTTTCATGGTAAAAATATAAAACCCGTTCTATAGAATATGCATGAGAATCGGCGCAGAGGGTTATTTCCTCACTTATCATTTGTTGGTGTGGTCCTGTTCGAGTCGTACGAAGAAGCGTTTGTTGTTATTGTTTATTGATAATGTCGTGGAATCGGGAAGAAGTTACACTGTTGTTGGAGGAGTACCAAAAATGGCCAAACCTGTACAAGGTGAAGTCACCAAAAATTTGCGGCGTCAGGCGCTGGATGCGATAGTCCAAGCATTGAGAAGTTTGAAACCTAACGTGACAGCACAGGATATACAAGCAAAGTTTCAAACTTTGAAACAAAATGCCAGCAAGGAGAGGTGAAAATGTTTGGAATCGCAAAGAAGTGGCGCCGGTTCAGATGATGTAAGTTTTTTCTATGTGTTTGCATATTTCATTACTTCAGTATCTGATTGAGTGTTAGAAATAATATTTTTCACAGATCACGGAGCCATCACTGTGGTATCATAATTTGATTGGGTATGTGTTTGACAATAGCGAACAAAGAGGAGCATTCGATTCTATGGAGAGCGAAGATGTTCAAGAACAAGATATAACATTGGTAAGTGCCGATGTTGTCTTGCGTATTTCGCTATGGCTAAATCCCAAATTTCACTTAAATCTGAATTCAACAGTAATTTTGTCTAAACCTAAGTACACCTGAGCTTTGATGGATAGTCATCGATACTTTTGCATTTATGATAACAGAATGGACCTATGACCATGTGCTCCATGTTATTTATTATTTCATATCGAAATCTAATCAAGCATTAATTTAATGTAAATATATATTTATACCTCTTTCGCCAAGACTAGAAAACTTTATATTGCTACCTGTTCATTTCAGATTGAACAAGCAGATGATGCGGATGTCTTCGCAGAGGAGGTGCTCTCGGCGGCAGTATCACCGTCAGGGGTTTTGGAGGATATCAGCACGACAAGCCACTCTAGAAGCTCTTCAAGGGTGAGCATGAGAAGTACTCCCCAAAAAAGAAAAAGGAAATAATATGATACGGATCTTATGGGGGAGGTCAAAAGTACCTTGCAACATATTTCCCAAAAACTGGGACAAACCAGGGAGAAATCCTCTAACCAGATCTTCGGGGAATATGTCGCCTCAAAGCTTGACCGAATAACGGACAGTGAGATACGAGATAAGGTTGAAGCTCAAATTATAGAAGTATCAAATACTGCCCTGTGAAGGTGCAGGAAATGATGTTTTTTAAATAAAGAGCATTAAATGGATACTTCATTATTTTATTTCTGTATACAATACGGTACAATAATAGAAATAATTATATGACTCAATATTTCATTAAATGTTTCTTTGTACAGCTGTGTCTTGCCATGGCACAGATTCAGATGTAGAATTGAAATAATCCTTAAATTCTTCTCTGATTGATCTCGCAAAATTACTCTAATGCGCATATGAATTACTCGGAATATTCAATATTTTTTCCATGAAAATTTTCGGCATAATTATGACCATAATTTTCGGAGTAATTCTCTTGTGTGGAAAACGGCTCTTATGCATATTTATGAATTTTTGGAATTTCTGCGTTTAGAGTACAAGATGCAGTAATTTTTCTTCAGTCGCTTACCGATTGACTGGATAAGTGAGGTATATTTTCATTTAGAATTGGAACAACGATAAAAAACCTACAGCTGCAAAAAAGGTGTGAACGTGTATATAAATGAGTGGCAATGATAAGAATACATTACAGGATGTAGAAGCCCAATGAGTCATCAAAAGACTCATTTTCGAGGCTCCACGTTATTTTCATAATTATCCTCGCAAATCAGTTTGATCAGCGGTAGTTGTTAATCTACGATTATAAGAGATTTAGCAGTTCTTGAACCGCGTCTATACGTTGGTCTGACCTAGGCCAACGCAAATATGTAAAGAATAGACAATGGCCGATGAGCATTTGACGATTTCTTCTCTGCACACTCGCTGTGGAAAAACATTATTCCCTTATATTATAATCGAGATAAGACATTATGTACAAACCATTAATTGGAAGGTACATCAATTTTTTTCTATTATCTATTTTGATAGAGTATAACAAATTATTTTTGTGTTCAAATATGTTTGTATTACACTTGTTACTTTACATTTCATACATATAGTTGTACAAAAAGCCTCACTTGAGCCAATGAAACCTACAATAGCATGTAAGTGGAATTGAATGTATATACAGTTCAATGTTATATCCACCCCAATCTATTACAAGTAGGATAAATCATTGAAGGTCAAAGTCATTAAAGTCCTTCGTTAATTTCCTCGTCATCGGTCGCTGCATCTTGGCTGCTTGATGAGGTCTCAGCATCTTCTGTTAAGTCATCATTATCGGGTTCTACGGTAGTTTGTCCACCGTCCTCCTCACATGCATCTGTAGCCGTCGGAGTTTCGCTATCATGGTGTTCTGTAGCAGTCCATCTCTTTGATTTGTTTCACGATTTTCCGCGGCATACTTTGCAAGCAGGGTTGCACTTTAGACCGGCGTTTCGGCAGTTACATCGCTTCGATTTGCAGGGAGGGCATCCACAGGAAACCTGAAAAAAGGTTATCATAAGAATTACTATAATCTAAATATCAGTTGTCTGGTAAGGGAAATCAATGACAGGCCTTTTATAGTGCTCCATAGATCAGTCTAAAAATTTGTTATTTTGACGTGAAACTGGAACTCACTTTGTTCAAAAATTATTTGAATTCCGGTCAGACAGTACATGAGATGAAGTGTAGTAAAAATTAGTTGTAGCAAGTTGTATTTATTGCTTCAAATTGAATACATTTCACACATACCTCTTGTAACAGATCTTTTGGTGCGGGATCTGCTTCAGACATGATCGGAATGAGAAAATTACTCTGTCTTGTCCATCCCCACACGCAGGGATCTAATCTATGCTGAAGCCACACCTGGATTTGATAGTACACTCGTTTACAGTGCTGAAGCAAGGCAGATGTTGGTGGGAGACATTCTAGGGGCGTTTCCCTTTTTGCCTTTGCTAAGTTTGTAGAAAACAAATTGTATCTGAAAGTCCCGAGAGAAGAAGACTGATCATTGTCTTTGTATAGTGCGAGAGTAATCGTCTCTGGACATGGCAGCAATTCGTCTTCCCAGCAGTCCGGCTCGTAAAACTTCAGCGTCAGCGCTCTAATGCTGTCGTTCTGTAGCAGCAACTTCACCAGCTTCATCTTCCCTTTCCCAAAAAAGCAGCTAGTAGTGTCGCAGCTCGCAAAGGCATGAGCAAAAAGTAGAAATGGTTGCAAATGTTTGTGATCCCGAGTACCGTACAATTGGTTCGCCTTGCCCCCCTGGCCCATCTTGTAATAGTACATGCTCTCTGAGGTTGGAGTGAGTCCAATAAGTAATATTAAGATTAAGAGAGAGATCAACATCCGAGCCGACGACTATAACTCGTGATTTCCCGTGACGAAACAATTCGTTATGAGTCTTCAGAGCTGTTCTCACAATCTCAACATCCGCATCCTCTTTCGCATGGATCACGGTAAAACTGAATCCCTCATATGTTGCAAGAGTTTGACCAAGGTGATAAACAAATTGAGCCTTGTTTTTCACGTTGGACAAAAATTTCCTTTGGTTCAGTGGAAGGATTGTCTGGTTCAATTTCAACGTCCACGCCACAATTTCTTTCTTGTCTACGGTCTCGCTCGTATGATTTGACACCTATATGTTCATCTTCATATCCGTCGAAAACAATAATGACGCTCCGACCAAACCGCTGAACAAGAAAGTTCTTGTACATATCAAAGATTGCACGGTATGTCTTACTATGAGGCCAGACGAGGTTGTGAAGCAACCATCCTCCGTCTACAACAAACTGAGAATCTTCAAAAAATGCTCGTGAGGATAGGGTAGTAGTGAACATTTTATATAACTGTGACTTGTCGGTCTTTCGCATTGATCCTTTCTCGTCGAACAAACTAAGTGGAACAGGAGACATTTCGTAGTCGAAGCAAGATTTACTCAACTCTCTCCTTCCACGCATAGCCACAGACAGACGTTGAAATAATAGAGAGGTATCAACAGTGACAGTGGAAGACATAGCTTTTTGAGATTGTGTCCGTGCAAAGTCCAAATTCTTGATCTTGTACGATTTTGACAGCGACACCTTTTCATAAGTGCGTCCAACTATATGACACATTGCTTGTGTGCCACGCTCGAAAGCCATATGACAATTTATTTACACACCACCAACAACTCCAGTTGACAGCGAAATTAATTCCTCGCGGACTTTGAATGGTTCATGCCCCTTCAACCAAGTAACGAATGAGGCAATGTCCTTTGCGTCCCATGCTTTTCGTCCTTTGCCCAAATCAACATGCTGCTCACTGTTTCTCGTCTCCAGGTTACAATACTCTTCCAATGCTTGCATCACATGCACGGCGCAATGCATCCCCAGCAAATATCGAGACACGACACTCCGCGTAACACCTCTTCCGTGTTTCAAGTCAGTCCCAAAAAACCTATCCAATGTCTGCTCGATTGTCATGTCACTCCAGATTCCGGACCAAGCCTTATCTGTCCTGTGGATAGTGAAATAACCCTGCGTGGCAAACTGGTGAAACTCTTGAGGATCCATGATGTCCTGTAGAAGTACCATATCCTGCAAATAAATCTGAGCTGCTTTTGCATATTGAAAATGTCCCGCGGCATGAAACAATGGCAACATTCTTCGAACGCAATCAAGATGCAGGTCCCAGTTTCCAAGACGTTCTGCTTCAATAAAACGCAAGACAATAAGCACGGCTTCAATGTACTGCACCCACAACTTGGCTGTTGGGCCGTTATTTTTCAATTGCTTCAACTTTGTATAAAACAAATCAGACATTTTCTTCAGGTCCTTATCAGAGTCACTGTCCTCTAGCTTGAGAGGATTTTTCTGCCAGACACGCATCAATGATGCGATAACCCCTTTGATCTCGCCTTTTTCTTCGATTGAATCACAAATTACGATGCCTAAAGCTGTAAACGTCAAAATGTGTGCTCCGACTGCTCTTGAATAATTGTGCCCGTCCATCATTTTCTTTATGGATTCACTAGCGTAAGCAAGCTCCCACATAGATTCAAGTCCGCTTCCTCCCATGATAATACCTATTGCTCCCAAAAAAGACATTAACATGTGGAATCCGCCTAAGCGAACAAAAACGTCGGGCAACATTAACTTCGCTATAATATAGCGACATTTCATGTACAACGGCAAGACGTAAGTTAATATAGTAGTTTTTTTTACCACATTTACGCGTTTCGCTCTTTGCATGCATAATTGATGTGTAAATGGTCGTTAGACTAGATGGAACTTCGCTAATGAATTGTTGGCATTGCACCCCCGACCTTTGGAAACTTTCATTTTCCGAACATATCTCCATGAAACCTCGTCATGCTGGTACATTCACAGGATCAACGTATTTAGCCCACAAATAAGTTTAGTAAGTAGGAGGGAATAGAGGCATGTCGACCATGGTCAGTAAATTTGTATCGATGAATTCTATAAGTTTCAAGCCCTCTTTTGGCGGCTCGACGTTAGGGAAGATTGGAGTTTGTTCTTGCTTTGCAAGGATATTTGCGGAAGGTATCTCAGTAATTTTTTCCACACTTCCACATTGTGTGATTTCGTGCTCCGGAGTGTAAACCTGATTTCCACCTAAACAATGGAAAGTCTCCCGTCCGTCCAGGGTCCTGACGTTCTGGTCAGTATTATCAAATACAAATTGTACGAAAGGTTCTTCGATTATCAATCTGGGTGGATTCACTATTGTTGAAACCTCATACATTTCAATATTGTAGTAAGAAGTGCAAACGTCTAATGCACGCAGAAGATTTATGTACTTGGAACCTGTTTTTCTCAGAATCAATGTCCCAATCGACAAGTGGAGAGTGGACAAAAACGTACGTGGCTGAATGAATGAAAGTATGCATTGAGATATCATGTCTCGCTTCACAGACTTTGAGAAAGTGCTCAATAAAGAAAGAAAAGTGGGGTGGATAATAGGAGGAAAGATCTCTCACGAATTGATTATGGTGGGTACTTATCGCTTACAAATTGCTTGCTACGAATCTCTCTGTGCATTATATTTGAGGCCTGAAGCAAAATAAGTTGTATCTGCTCTTCTGTGAAAGTTGATGGGTCTGCTGACACATTTAAAACATGATGACTTTTGAAGCAAACACGTATATCTTTTCCCTCCATTATACTGCACTCAATTTCCTCACCGTAACG